TGTTACCAAGTCTAGTCCTAGTGTTAGGCTAAAATACGCTTTAAACAACTCTGTTCAACTATGTACCTAGCTGCCTAGTGTTAGGCTAAAAATACGCTTTAAACAACTCTGTTCAACTATGTACCAGCTGCCTAGTGTTGGCTAAAAATACGATTTAAACAACTCTGTTCAACTATGTACCAGCTGCCTAGTGTTGGCTAAAAATACGCTTTAAACAACTCTGTTCAACTATGTACCAGCTGCCTAGTGTTGGCTAAAAATACGCTTTAAACAACTCTGTTCAACTATGTACCAGCTGCCTAGTGTTGGCTAAAAATACGAAGAATTAAATTGCTGCGGAATGCTACAAGTTCTTCAAATACCTATAGAATGATAGGTTTATCTTTTGTGAGTATAAAACACTTAAAAACACCATTTCGAAAGCCAATCCTATTTCAGTTTAAAATGAAGAGCTATACACTTTTCTAAATTCTTGACTTGAAGGCTAAACAGTATCTAAGTGCTAGAACAGTAACTTCTTACGACAAAGGCTAAGAGTTACTATAGATTCCATTCCTCTCTACTATATAATTATGTGAGTCATTACCAATTTAACAACCAGAGTTGCTGACTTTTACCCATCTTTAGACAATTCTAAATTATGGTCTGCATTCCCAAACGTTTGGGTCTTTGACCTGACCGTTTGGCATAAAGTACTGTTCAGGTTAAAATATCAAACATTAGATTAACAGTTTCTTTTTAGAAATACTATTATATTCTCATGTTATTTAGGTGTTCCAGTAAAATTCTTTATTTTAAAATAACAAAACAATACAACAGTGATGTCAAATTTGCAGTATATATTTGGAAGGATAATTAACAACAACTATATTATAAAACAACACCTTCATTAAGAACAGTGGCATAGTATGCTTAATACATTCCCTACCAAAAATTGTAACGACTTTTGAGTAGTAAGTATTTTTCACATTTATCACATGTTCTTTAACTAGTTCAGGAAACAAATGTATTAGCAAAGTTCTTTCCTTCATTGTCTGTGATGGGTGGAGGTATCTTTTGTCATGGATTACACAAGCCTGTGAATTTAAACTTCATAAAAGTTGTTTTGGTTTTAATAACAGATTTTCCATAGTTCAGCTACGCAGATATTCATTTTTTTTATCACGTAAGGATTTTCTTTTACAAATCGGAAAAAAACTGTTACTTAGATCAAATTATTATTCGTTTACCCCATGAACATTTTTTTTATTATTATGTTTGTTAACAAAAATACAAACAAACTGAAGAAAAGAGAAGAACATTGATGTCAAACGAATATACATCCTCATTCATCTTGATTTTTGTGAAATTTACGTCTTTTAGTTTTAAAACTACTTGTTGTGGTCTTTCTTTTATGTATTGCGTTATGATGTTTTGTGAAAAATCTGAAGGTGTTGTACAAAAATGTGTATCATTTTCGGATTCAGCGTTCAGGAATTACTGTAGCACATATAAAAAATGTGAAAACAATAAAACTATCACAGGCCTGTGTTATTGACATCATTAATACGTTGAAGAAACTCCACTCCCTTTAACCATTTCAACAGATAACCAATTGGTTGTCGTCTCACCACACTATTTCCAATTTTCCACAACTATTATGAAGAATAATATGCTTTTCTGAATCATATTTTATTGCATCATTTTCATCATTAAGCATGGATCTTTGTATCGATTCATCTTTGACGGTGTACATTTCCTACGTTTAGAGTTAGTTAATCACGCCGTATCACCATAATGAAGTTGGACTTATCAGCGCAGATATTATACCGTACATGCAAAACGCTTCCTTGTTCAATTCTTTCACAACAGCAAGGTGCTCTGTTACGGGATTATTATAAAAATGATGATGAACTTGTTATGACTGGAGAAACCTTGGTTATCTCGGCTCTATACAACTGTTCCCTGCAATATCTTACAATTTCAGTGCGAGATATGGTTTCAGAGTGAACCCAACTATAGCCAATCCATCTTAAAATGAAGTTAATATCCATTTGACGAAACAACAACTTGTTTTTATACAAACTTGTTGTTCGTTATATTTTATCTTAACATCATTTGATGTCACTGTACTCACCTACTATGACAATTCACCTTAATTTGGAGACTGCAGAAGGCGTAGTGATGTGTTTGTTTATTGTTTCACGCATTTCATTTTCTTTAGCTCTTGAATTTATTACAATTCTTCGACTATAAGCATTGACCTTTAGCCTGCTTCACTATAATTTGGCTATGCTACTTTTTTTTAGAACTTTTTAACATTTAGCCCTAATTTCTTTTAATTTTAATACACACTTAAAACTGTGGACCATCTTAGCTGACTTTCATATGTTATTCAAGTAGTAGTCTATTCATTCCTTGTTTGCAATGACAAATATTTTGTCCTTATTGACCATAAAAGTGGTACCTTCCTCTTGGGCATGTCTTTAAAACTATCTTTTAATGTTTCAGTTTGCAATCTCAAGAAAAATATACGTCTTTACATTTGAAACACAATTTAACTTTGGTTGTCTTTTTTTTTTTTACTGTTTAAGTTATCTGTCAGTAGTCAACATTAGTGTGATGATTTTGTTATCTTGAGCAGATATTCTGAACTGTCTTTTAAAGACTTTGACGAAGTCTGATGTCATTAAAAGTCAAACAGCTTCCTTATTAGAAGTGCTTCCATTTGCTTCAATCTGATATATATATGACTGTATTGATATTGATAACAGTTAATTCTTTATGTGCCAATGGTTCCATCATCAATCGAGAAATTCCAAGTAAGACAAATGCGGTTCTTTAAACTTCATCCTAATCATCATCATCATCATCATTCACGTACTCTACAAATTTATTTTATGGATTTTATAACATCTAAGATTAATTGTTATTCTTATGCTGAAGAAAAATCCGAACTTTCATATATTACATAGCTTAAATCACGTTAGCAAACCACTCATTGACTAAAGTTGTAATATATGATTAACTAACAAATTAATACATTACGGAACACATTGTACATTTTAGTCTACTAGTAAACATGAATTATAAGATTCTGCATATAAAAAGTATAATGAGCGTCCCAAAATGAAACAGTGCACCGAGAAAAGGGCTGGAATAGTCTACAAACATTCTAAGTGAGAAAGGGTTTGTTTATAAGCACAAAGCTACACAAATGGGCTAACTATCTGTTATCTTCCAACCGCGAGTATTGAAAACCGATATGCACTGAGCCATCGAGTTATATTTGTGAAAAAGGGAGAAAAAAAATGTCATGAAGAAAATCTGTTTTGTTCGTATTTCCTAATTCAACAATATTGAACAGATGTGAAGTACTTATCTTAAATAAAATAGTCCAAGTAAGTAATTAGAAGAACCTTCTGTTTTAAACAGTCTTTAACAAAGCAACTGGTGGGTTAATTATTTGTTTGTTCTAGAGCAAAGCCACATTAGGCTATCCGCTGTGTTTACCGCGGGGAATCGAACTCTCGATTTTAGCGTTGTAAGTCCATAAACATACCACTGTCCCATCGCAAAACGTGGATTAATTTAGAAGGGTTGTCCACCAGTGGGACAATGGTATGTTTACTGACTTACAGTGCTGAAATCTGGGGTTTGATTCCCCACAGTGGACACAGCAGGTAGTTCAATGTGGCTTTGCTCTGAAAGAAAGAAACAAATCATAAGGGTTAAAAAGGTCAGAGAATAAACGTAGTATGGGAAAATTAATAAATAATATCATGAAAAATAGAACTTTTTCTAGTGACTTACGGAAAAATATTAGAGTGAAACTAAACTTCTTGAAAACTCGAGTGTATTGTAAATAC